TTGTTTTCTGGCCCAGTTCAGCTCCAAAAGCCTCAGAACTCAGAAGCTGATGGTGTGTCTTGCAATTCGAAGCTGAAGACCTGTGAACCCTGGGGGCTGCTGATGTAAGTCCCAGAATCCAAACACCAAAAAACCTGGAGTTTTGATGTCTAAGGGAAGGAGGGGGAGAGGGTCCCAGCTCCAGAAAAGAGAGAGGTAGAGGAAATCTTTTTCTCTCCTTTTTTTGGTTTTATCTGGGACACCAGCTGATTGGATGTGCACACAATGAGGGGCACATCTCCACTCAGTCCACTGACTCACTGGTCAATCTCCTCTAGAAATATCCTCACAGTCACACCTGGAACTAATGCCTTACCACTTCTCAATTTAGTCAGATTGACACCTAAATTAACCATCATTCTCACCAGTAACAAGACAAAACAAATATTTATCTTCCAATGTTATCAGTTTCAGAGACTTCAAAGGCTTCACAACTCTATGAAGGTGAAATGAGATCATTTTTCCATCTGCAGAAGATATATCTGACTCAGGGAAATGACATCATTTGACTGCATCAGCCCCACTGGAAGTTCTGTGCCCCTGAGATAAGCTCCACTCACTACACCACACTGCTTTCCTTGTCTCCCTGCTCTGCTTTTACCCATTGCCTGCCAGAGTGTAAAGTACACCCAGGAAGAGCTTGTTGAGTGAATGAATAGTGCTCCAAGTGGCTCACTTGGATGTCTTTCCAGCATAAAGGCCAGGGGACCATCGTTGCTGTTCAGCATGGTAACAATTGTCTCACATTGAGTGCATTCATTGGTCTCTAACTGATAATAAATACTGCAATAATAAATAAAGTTCCCAGTTTCAAACAAAAATAACTGACTGAATGATTTAACCAAACAAACTAATTAAATGAAATAGGGAAACCCATAGGGTCAATAAGACCAGCTGCAATGGAGGCCACAGTCCAGGTTCACCACTGCAGTCGTGCTGGAGCTAACCTGAAGTCCATGCTTTGCCCTGTCTTCAGATGTCAGGGCTGCTTTGCCTCCAGGTGGTCCCAGGCTGTGATGCCTCTGCTGCTGCCTGCCTGGTGGCTGGAGCTCCATGGGCTACCTCTACCCTCTTCTCCTGCTTCTCAGATCATGGCTGATGGTACATAGCATTTGACTGACAGCCTCAATCACATCTTCACACATCCACTGCAAAATAAATACCTGATTATTACCAAGTGCATAATCTTCCAAACTGAAGAAGGAGTTCAAGTTTTGGGCAGCCAAAACCCTAACAGATAGCCAAACTATCTTGTTTTCTCTGATCTTTCTCTTCTCTGGATAGATTCTCTCTGTTCCTACATCCTAATTTCATGGATGAGGCCTCCAGATCCCTTATCATTCTGTCATTAATTTTTGGTATCCAGGCTTGGAATAATCTGACAAGCCCAACATACAATGGGAATATTCCTTTCCATATCTTGACCCCTTAGCTTCCATTAAGGCATCTGAGGATTTCATGAGGTTTCTAGGCAGCTATGCTACATTGATGACTCATGTTGGCTCATACTGTGCTTGTGGTTGACTGAATTCCCCAGATCTCTTCATATGAATGGCTGTTAAGCCAGGTCTTCCAATATTTTATGTAATTCACTTATTGAACATGTGCGAATTTGACAGAGTAACATAAAACTGTATTTGTAATACTTCAACTATTCAGTTCAGACCCTTAAGTTCCCTTACACAGTATACTTGGCTGCTTTATCCAGAAATTGCAAACTGGTGATCTTTAGGCCAATTTGATCACATATTTATTTTGCTTAGCTAATGTGGCAACTTTTTTGGGGGGGAGTGAATTGCTTGCCAACTGTTGAATATCAGAAGATCTCAAAAAGTGGGCCTTCTTCTCTTGAAAGATAGGAAGAGATGGCAACACTTAGCCATCATTTCCTCGGGACAGAGAGTGACTGGTTGGAAATGAGTATGATACTCCCTTGAGAAGATGCAGACAGCTCCCCACAGTCCCCACCATGTCCTATTGCCTTAGTCTAGTTCTTTCATTAATTCGTATCTCTTGCCCAAGCCTCTATGTACGTTTGGCTTTGCAGTCTGTGTGTAGTGTGGGAGTTGGCTACGGAAAGGGCTGAAGGGGAAAAGAGGAAGTATAGGAAGTCCAGGCAAAGTGGGGCTCAGCAGCTCTGCATTTGCTCTTGTCAAGGCTTTGGCTGTGCATAATAATGAGGAACACCGAGGTCAGATGTGGTTGTGGGCTCCTAGCATGGTCACCTGTTCTGTCTGCCCAGCATCCCACTTCTTCTGGAAACTCTCACTTCTTTTTCTGTGTGACTCCTGAGGGTGATCTTGCTTCTGTGGCCAATGTGCATGGATCCAGAGAGTGACAACTGGTCTTAGCTAGGCTATAGGATTCTAGAACTTCCAGTCTGCGACGGCATCAGGTGAGCCTCGTCAGTGGCTAATGCAATGCTCATGGAGCTTTGACCACGTTTTCATGTGGGTTGGAAGCAGAGGCACCTGATGGTGGTGCGGGAAGGAGGGAGTCATCATATAAAGTGGGGACTCTGCACTAATCTGGTCCAGCTCTTACTCTGTGGTCCTGTGAGATGCCTTTTATTCTGTTCCCTTTAAGATCTTTCTAAAGTTGGTTTCTGTTGCTTGCAACCCAAAGTACCAGGGTATGTCATCACAGACAGCGTCTACTCTCTGCAACCCCCCCATTCCATCTAGGGGGGGTCCTCGCTTATGCTCTTCCTGGTCCTGGGTTTCATCACACACTGTTGGGCCAAGCATCTAAGTGCCTTTGACACATTCCCTTTGTGTGCTCCTGAGCATAGGTCCAAGGGCAAAAGGTGTGCTTCCGTGCACTGGGGGGGGGGGGGGGTGTCGATGACATTCCCTTCCTCCAGTCCTGTGCAAAGCCAGAAAGCTCTGGGATGCCTTCTATCTCACACCTTTGCCAGCACTGATGGCATATGATACATAAAGAAATCCACACTACTGAGAGACATCTAGTTGGGAAAGCCATCTGCTGCCACCAGGAACACAATTTCTAGGGACTGGCAACCCTATAGGAGCTCAGGATACCTGGAATCGAGGTACTAAGACTTGTATTCAAATCACCACTAAGTGATGAGACAAAGACATTCTTTCAGCCAGTCAACAAATATTTATTGTGCACCTACTATGTGCCAGGTACTGCCCCAGGCACTGAAGATACTACAGCGTAAAAGACACATACATTACACAGTTTCTACTCTAATGGGAAGTAGTCGTCATGCATTAGGTTCCAGAGATACAAAAATTAAAATCCAGCCGTAATGGTTCATAACAGTGAGTCTCACATTCCTTATTTGTAAAATGAAGTTAAAATAATTACCTCGCAGGTTATTTAGGGGATTAAGTGAAATAATGCACAGGAATGTTCTTGGCACATATTAGCATTAGCAAATATTACTTTCTCTTTAAAACTCAGAAAAGTAACATTTAGTTTCACAAACGACAGCACAGCCCGACTGGTAGGTGGGCTGTCAACGCCACTATTGATATTAGCCTTGGTTAGAACTGGTTAGCTGTGTAACATCCTTATAGTCCTTGGTTTGTGACAGGTTGGATTTGGGATCGGGAGCACTAGGAACACGAAGCGGCCACAAGGGGGCAGTGCACGGTAGGGAATCTTCGCCGCGGACCCCAGCCCACCGCCAAACTTGCCTGCTGCTCTAGTCCTCCCGTACGTACTTCCGTTGCTCTGACGCTCCCAGAAGCCGGGGTGTCGGGAAGCAGAGCGCGAATTCCCCCTCCTCTGCGCCTCGCGAGGAAAAACTGGAGCGCGCGGCACAACACCGCGCCGCAGCGGGCGCTAGTGCCCCTCTCGCTGCGCCGCCCAGAGCCGGGAGGGCGGCAAGAGGGTGCTGGTGCGCGCGGCTGCGGCTTCAGCTTCAGACCCGCGACTCGGGAGAAGACAGGCTGCCGCCCAGAGGAGTCGGCGCGGCTTTGGGGTGTCCCCAGCGCCTTCCTCTCCCGCCTTCCGGGGTATCTTCACACCCACACCCGCAGCTGTCACTTCTGCGCACTGTCTGGAGAGGGGACCGAACCAGGAGCGCTGTCTGGTGTCTTCGGGGAGGATGCCTGAGCGTATGCGGTGTTCACAAACTGCTGCCAGAGCTGGCGAAGAAAGCAGTCGGGATAACGCCGCCCAAACTTTCCTTCGCAGCAGCGTCGGAAGGAAACGTCCGTGACGAAGGAAACGTCCCTGACGTTCGCGTTGAACCCCCAGAAGAGTAGACGCCCCAAGGGGACAAGGCCTAGTTTGCGCCGCCGGAGTTTCCTGGAGCCCTGGAGGTGCCCTCAGGGGCAGGGCCAGTCGCCAGCGTGTGCTCGGGCGAAGGGAAGGCCCGCAGGCACAGCGTCTCGCTCCCCGAGTCCCGCAGCGACTGTGACCTCCCGCGCGCTCCCCGCTCACGTGCTCGCGGCCCAGGAAGAGGAACAGTCCAGCTGAACCCGCTAGAGGCTGTGAATCGCAGGCAGGCTAGGGGCGCATGGAGGTGTCGCGGAGGCGGCGCAGCTTGCCAGCAGCGCGGGGCCGTGTGCACCCAGCGCCCCGGCCTCCCCGGGGACCCGGCCGGCCACTTTCCTCACTTCCTGCCGCTGGGCTCCCGGCCGCAAGCAGCCGCTTGGAGCTCAGACCCCGCTGAGCGTCGTGCGCGGCCGCAGCTCCGGCCCTCGGCGCGGGGCAGACGCGCAGCGGGACAGGTGTACCTTGAGGGGCTGCGCTCGCTGGGATTGGGCAGGCTCCGCGGGCCTGAGTTGACTCGCTGCTCACAGAACCCCGGTCCCCGCTACGCAGGCCGGTCGCCTCGCCACTTTGCATCGCAGCGGCGGGAGTCTCGGGCTGTCAGCCCCGTGAAGGAAGACGCGGCGGGGAAGCTCCTAATGCTAGCTACTTGTGGTAATTCCTGCTCTGGCCCTGGGACCTAGGTAACTGCGCGTGGCCGGCCTCGGCGCCTCCCCCATGCTGCTCGGAGCGTCCTGGCTGTGCGCGTCCAAGGCGGCCGCCGCTGCTGCGCAGAGCGAGGGCGACGAGGACAGGCAGGGTGAGCGGCGGCGGCGGCGGGTGGCAGCCTTGGGGACTAGCGAGGATATGGACGAGTCGTCGCTGCTGGACCTGCTGGAGTGCTCCGTGTGCCTGGAGCGCCTGGATACCACGGCCAAGGTGCTGCCATGCCAGCACACCTTCTGCCGCCGCTGTCTGGAGAGCATCGTGTGCTCGCGCCACGAGCTGCGCTGCCCCGAGTGCCGCATCCTGGTGGGCTGCGGCGTGGACGACCTGCCCGCCAACATATTGCTGGTGCGCCTGCTGGACGGCATCCGCCAGAGACCCCGCACCGGCGCCAGCCCTGGCGGTAGTCCGCCAGCGCGCCCCGGTCCCAGTACGTCCCCAGCGCTAGCGGGCGGCGGGGGCGGCGCAGCGGGCAGCGCCCTCGGCTCCCCGGTCTTCCTCCCCGTGGCGGCGGGCAGTGCCACCTCCAGCCTGTGCGAGCTGGAGACCAACCGTAGCGTGCCAGTGGCAAAGGTAAGAATTTGCCCCGCAGAATGACTCCACTATGTGTGGGAATGTGAATGCGTGTGGGCACATGGGCACGTGAGTCTGGGGCCAGTGGTGACGAGTAGAGGAGGCTAGAGGTGGCCCTGGATTGGTCCACTCATTTGTTTTGCTTTTCTTTCTCTACTTTGCCTTCCTCCAGGTACTTGGGGCATGGTGCTCTTAAATTCCCACTGACCAAGTCTTGGACAGATTCTTGACAATTCCTGCACCTCCTCCCCCACCCCTTTCTCCCGCGCCATTCCCTGCCCCAAACTTCTTGTGGGCACTTCCTGTAGGTTCATCCTCTTTCCTGGAGTCCTTCTCTGAGCACCTGAGTTTAGCGTTTGTGTCCAGTCCCAGGACACCTCCATACCTGTTCTTATGTGAGTCAACACCCCATCCTCCGGCTGGGTGGACATGCCTTCTGTCAACTGCTCACTACCACCCCCATTTTGGCCGGGCCTGTTTCTTTGCCTCTTAACTTCGCACCGCCTTTCCAACTCCCCAGAAACAGACTTCTTTCCCTGGACCTCCAGAGTCTTCTTATATGCCTTCTGACCACCTGGAGGCAAGTTACTGCTTAATGCTTTCCTGGTTTTGATCGCTGACAGGAAGCAGTGGCCTCCTGCCTGCATGTCTGGGAGGAAAAGGGCAAAGGGAAGAGTGGGACTGGGTGTGGAAGAATATAGGCTACAAACTGTGCTTAGCAAGAGGGAAGGAGGCCCCAGGAGAGCTTTGGACTAGCTCTAATCTTGGATTTGGCAGTAACTGTCACAAAGCCTTGGTCCTCTTCTGGGCTCTTGGGCAGGGTTGCATTTCCAGGTGGTCATTGTTTTTAAATTTTATTTTTTGTGCAACTACATTGTGCAGTCCTCACTCCTGTTTTAGTTGAAAGAAAGCTTTTCTTTTCCTGGAAGGTTTCAGTGACTTGGTTTCAAAAGTTTCTTTGATGTCATTGCACATGGGAACTATATAATTGGGGGTCAGAGTAGATCATAAGATGCTGGCTTGAGTGAGACACAAGGTTGCCCCTATTTTGTAATATCTCTAAATGGAAAAAAGACATTTAAAGGTTAAAAATGACATCGTTGATTTATTGGAATTATTTGTTTTAGGAAACACAACTGTATTCATCTACTTTTGACCATTTAAGGAGCTAGTGGTGCATAAGTCTTCCAATATGTATACTTCTGAGGTGCTGGGAAAATTCTGACTCAATACTGCAACATTGGCAGGGTCAGAAACTTAAGCCCCTGGATGTTCAGCTTGAATTAAGTGCTTTGCTGAACTGAGTTTTTCCATGGATCAGGAAGAATGGACAGTTAAGGACAGTCAAGGAATTTTCCTCCTTGGGATCACTGCTGAAGGATCATTGTTTCTCTGGTTTTAATTGTGATTGAATAGGGCTACATGCTCCAGTTACAGACTTGTGAGCTTTTTCTTACTGTCCTTCCTGTTTTTAATCTATGTTATTATAATGAAAGCTTTTTATTTGCAGAATAAGCAGGTTACCTTCTCCTGCATCAATAACTATATGATTTTTGGAACTATACTTCTGGTAAGATGCCAGGACGTTTTGATGACCGTATGTTTACAGATGTCCTCCCAGTTTATCTTGGAGAATTGTGTTTAGCAGGAAGGTTAGGAGGTAACCTCTGGAATGTGGCAGGTACACCCTTGGGGCTGCTTTTGGGAACTCCGTGGCACTTACAGTATTCTTTAAAAGTTGTCAAAGGGCAGAAGCTTGCAACTTTTAATAATGATGAATAATAATAGGGAATTTGGGTGATTAGATTTTAAGATCTTGGATGAACTTTCTCTGTGGACACACAGACTGTTCATGACTTTTGTGCTTCTTGGAATTTCAGAACACATTTGCTTCCTTTTGGTTGTGTTAACGAAGTGCAGGCCTTTCTGCACAGTCTATCTCAAAGGGACTAAATTTGGGTCTGGGCAAGAGTCTGACTTAAATCCAAATATATTTGATCATTTTCAGAGGAAAAAGTAGTAAAGGTGTACCATGTAGCTTTTCAATAGCAGGGAGTCTTCTTGGCCAATCAGAACCTTGTGTGCTATACTCCTTAGCACCCTCGGCAACAGCCTTCTGTCCTGGTACATCTTCTAGGGGGACAGGATAGGTTGGGAAGGGGAAAAGGATTGAAATAGCATTTTCCATTAAGCTACCCTTGTTAGGGATAGACTTCAGCTAAAACTTACATCTTGGTACTTCACTATTGGAATTACGTTGATGTCTCTTAGCAAAGCTGAATAGCTGAATGCTGAATGTTGATGCATGTAGCTTAACAGATGGACACTCATGTCATCATTTAGCAAATATCAAATATGACCCAATAGTAAGTTACTACTAATATGATAGTCCCCTATTTTCCAATTAGAAGTTCTCAGATCTTCTTTTGGATTAACTGGAAAGAGTAAACATTTTAGGTATGTAGATAGGCAGATATCTTCTTAGTTGTTTATTAATTCATTACAGTTAGACACAGGGACATATTAGACCATCATGTCTAAAATGTAAGTTCTGTTTTAATGATGGAACTGTTACTTCTGAGAACTATGCAGAGACATTTTAGAGATGTCCACAGCCATGTCCTCTTCAAAGGGCAAAATGAGGCAAAACAACTTTTATCATGTTCTGGATGGAAGTTGTGCTTTATTTTGAAATAAAATCCCCTAAAGAGAAAAAAAATTAAAAAAATAAAATGTAAGTTCTGTTTGATTTTACTTGCAGTTCATGTAGTATTTTTTCCAAACTCTTTATTTGCAGCTTTTCATCAGGGTCTTGCTTATTACTAGCATTCTTGGAGTCCCCTACTCTGGTTGCAGAGCCTCTCAGCTTTGCTTTCATCTCATTGGAGGTGAGATCTTTTTTGGAATCAATTAAAGATGCTGCCTCTGGAAATTTCAAGTACCTATTGCCTAGTGTTGAGATTGTTAGTCTCTTTTGTTTGTGGATAGATGCTATGTATGAATGGCTTAATGGGATCTTTAGAAGTTCTGTTCTAATGATACTGTCCAACTATTGAAATTGCTAATATGTGCTAAATTTCTTGTCTAGTGTGTTTGTTTATTGTTTTGACAAGTTTTTAAGAGAACTTCTTCAACAACCCAAAATAACATTGGTTGGGTTGTTTTAGGATGCTATGCTTTATGAAAGGGGCTGGCGATGTAGCTCAGTGGTAGTACACTTGTTTACCATACCAGAGGTCCCGGGTTTCATCCCCAGCACTGTGGGAAAAAAAAAACTGCCAAAAGGGTTCTGTGGCTCCAAACTGAGTGTTTCAAAGATTGTTTTTAATATGAGAGGCTTAATAAGGGCTCAAGTGTAAGAAAATTCTATTTTTTTCTAAATAGTTTTATTTTGAATACTCTCTGCCTTATATTTGGGCATGTGCTGGACATATTAAGTGCATGTACTGTATTAGACACCAATCTGGGGCTGTCATTATGGAACTGACATAGGAGGGTGTGGAAGGAAGCCATTCTTCCTTTGACTCTTGGAAGCACTGCTGGTGTCAGCCCAGTTTAAGGGAAGAATTTAAGAGGAAGGATATTTTCACAAATTAAAGGAGTATAGAAAGAAGCTTGGCAATGCTTTTGGTGATATAAAAGTAGGTTTTAAAACCTAATTAGGTGGTTCACACCTGTAATCCTAGCTACTCAGGAGGCAGAGATTAGGAGGATCCAAGTTCAAAGGTAGCCTGGGAATAATTCTTAAGACCCTATTTTGAAAAAACCCATCACAAAAAAGGGCCTGTGGTATGGCTTAAGGTGAGCTCTCCCTGAGTTCAAACCCTAGCACCACAAACAAAAACAAAGAAACAAAAAACCTAATTAGGTTGTCTTTTGTGTCTGTGTGTGTTTGTGTGTGTGTTTTCCCCCAATGCCTGTGATTGAACCCAGGGCCTCAGATATGGTAGGCAGGTACTGTACTGCTGAGCTACACCCCATCCCAGGGTTGTGATGTTTAAATTAGACCTATATGAATCTCTTCTGTGGATGGGTGCTGTGGCTTGTGCCTGTAATCTTTGCTACTCAGGAGGCAGAGATTAGGGAGGGTGAAGGTTTGAGGCCAGCCTGGGCAAAAAGTTAGCAAGACCCCATCTAATACACCCAACCAATAACTGGGTGTATCTGTAATCCCAACCTCTTGGGAGTCATAAGCAGGAAGATCATAGTCCAGTCTGGCCCAGCCATAAATTTGAGACCCTATTTGAAAAATAATAAGCTAATAGAGCTGGGGGGCTTGGCTCAAGTGGTAGAGCACCCCCCTAGCAAGTGAAAGACCCTGAGTTCAAATTCAAGTACTGCCTAAAACAGTCTCTTCTGTATCTGTAAGACAGTGTGACTGGGATATAGTAGTAAAAAAGGTAAAATAAGCCGAGACTCATAATAATATGTTACTATTTTATTGTAGAAACACACATTTTATCATTTTTTTGATGCTGTGCTGAGGCCTTCTCTTTGAGTCCTAAATTGTCTTTCTAGCTTAAGCCACAGACACAGTTTACTATTTTCTATTGGTTTTTTAAAAGTGGAATGAGAACTCAGAGACTGTCACAGAATTCTTAGTGGTTCTTCCTTCTAGGTTTTAATTCCTCCCCTACCATGTTTTCTGTCCTTGTTCACACTCAATGTGGCCATTTTAAAGCACTATGCCTTTGCTGAGTCTTTTCTAAGTAGCCATCTTGGTCTTCCAAAGGGCAACATATTTTTTACATTCAACTTCCTTGGTCATATAATATTTAATTAAAGTGTATTTTTAACATTATGAGTACAACTTACATAAACATAGTTGGGAAGAAGGAGGACAGATTCCTGATAAGAACATGCCTACTTGGGTGCTGTGAGGGGAGTCCCGCCCTGTAGGCTGCAGCCTTCCCTTGAGGTGGGTGTTAGGCCACCTTATAGAAGCCTTGGCACATTGGGTTGGTTAGTCCCACAGACCAGCTAGCTGGAGGCCAGGGCAGACGAGTCTGTGGTGTCTGGCCATCAGCAGTTGAGAAGCTTGTGCTTATTGTTTCT